CCGTCTACTTTCAATTGCATATGTCAGCCTTATTAAATATGTCTCTCATAGTGTGCTTTTCATTTGCGGATAAATCAAGCCTCCAGAGAATGTTCCCTTCATGACATATTCACAAAACTGAAGTTGTTTTATTGATTTTAAAGAATTATAGCTCTAGTGTTCAGTCATTTGTGTTTTGGAGATGGTGTGAAGAGCACACACCATGCATATGATATGAGAAAGGTGTGACAGCTCCCGGGAGCCCCTACACCCTCATGAACAGTAAATTCAAAAAATGAAACAAAATAAAAAAATCTGAAACTTGGGGAATCAAAGATGATAGAACTTTTGATGTTCATGCAAATTTCAGCCACAAATAGCACTCGAGCAGCCCTCGCAAATAAAATTACTCCTCGGAAATGCACATAAACTTTAAACACTGATTCTGTTTTTTTAGGTGAGGGCTCCTCGAATGATATTTGAGGCTGAAACATTGCAATAACGTCAAGTGTTTCATTATATTTGATGTTCCAAAGTTTCAGATTTTTTGATTTTTTATTTCTTTTTATATTTACTGCTCATAGAGGGTGTAGGGGCACACGGCTGTTGAAAGTCTTGTCTCATATGATATTCTTGGTAATGTTAGCTGTTTGCTATCGTATGAATGGTCCTTGTAGTAGTTAAGTGATGATAGTTTTCCTTGTTTTACTTGTTTATTTGTTTAACTGGCATTTTAACATTTTTAAGTTGGGCATTTTAACTATATGTGTACTCAACAGTATTTGGAGTAGAAGCATGAGTATTTGCAGAGGGCTTGCACTTTTATGTACTCCTGATGCTAACTGTCTGCACCTAATATTAACTACACACTTAATCTAGCTAATTAATAGTTTGAACAATATGTGTAGGTACTTGAGAAGAGTTCACCATACCCTTTGAAGGATCCAGAGGCGCGTGTAAAATATCTTGTTTCAAAGTGTGGCGGTCTTCCCAAAGTAATATCTGCTATAGCTGTGTTACTGGCCATGAAGACAAACAAAAGGAAGGAAACTATACATTCTTTGAATGAAAGATTTATGCATCATCTGGAGACCGATCCTGAGTATGACAATCTACAAGATCTATTTGCCTGGATGCAATCTTACTTCCGTACTTGTCCCGATGAACTCAAGCCATGTATCTTCTACTTGTCCATTTTTCCTCAAGATCAAATCATTCGGCGGAGGCGACTGGTAAGGCGGTGGATTGCAGAGGGCTACTCCAGGGACAGCCAGAATGAATCTGCCGAGGAGAATGGGGAGAAGCACTTCTCTGAGCTCCTTGAACTGAGCATAATCCAGCAGATATCGTCGTCCTCATCTGTCAACAGCTCTGCATTCAGTGTGGACGTCGTTAGGATGGTTATGTGCCAGGTGAATGGTTTCATCCGAGAGTACGTCGTGTCACGGCGTTTGGAAGAGAATCTTGTGTTTGAACTGGGTGGCAAATGTGCTCTAACCACCCAACGCACCGGGCGTCACCTTGTCATATTGGATAACTGGGAAAGAGATGGCATTGTGTTCGCGACCATGGACTTCTCTAGGCTACGGTCACTAACAGTGTTTGGATTGTGGAAGTCATTCTTCATCTCTGAAAGTATGAAGATGCTTCGGGTGCTTGATCTAGAGAATTCAGAGGCTTTAAATGATGGTGATCTTGACAAGATACTGGAGTGGTTGCGTCGCCTCAAGTTCCTCTCGTTGCGAGGGCACACTGAGATCAAACATGTACCAGGTTCATTACATCATCTGAGGCAGCTCCAGACACTCGATGTGAGAGGCACCTCAATAACCACCCTGCCACGGAAGATCACCAAGTTACAAAAACTGCAGTACATTCGTGCGGGGACTATGGGCTTGAAATCACCAGTTTCGTCCGGCTGCTCCAGCTGGTTGCCTGAGTTCTGCAGATGTCATCGTCCTACAATCAGTGTTGAGGTGCCCACAGAGATTGGTGAAGTCACTGAGTCCACGGGCTTGAAACCACCAGTTTCATCCGGCTGCTGCAGCTGGTTGCCTAAGTTATGCAGATGTCATCGTCCTACAATCAGTGCTGAGGTGCCCACACAGGTTGGTGAAGTGATCGAGTCCACGGGCTTGAAACCACCAGTTTCGTCCGGCTGCTACAGCTGGTTGCCTGAGTTCTGCACATGTCATCGTCCTACAATCAGTGTTGAGGTGCCCACAGAGATTGGTGAACTGATTGAGTTGCACACACTTGGTGTTATCAACATCACTGCTTCAGGCGCAAAGAAAACTGTGAAAGAGCTCAAGAAGCTCACCCAACTGCGCAAGCTCGGGGTGTCTGGCATTAACTGGAAGAACAACAGCATCTTTTTCTCTGCAATCAAATATCATGCCCATCTGGAGTCCTTGTCAGTTTCACTTGACAAGGACACCACCCGAGGTTGTTGCTTCATCAGAAAGGACAACAACAGTCAAGGTTGCTTGGATGACATGGACTTCCTGCCTGGTAAAAACCTTCGGAGCCTTAAACTGTTTGGGCTTGAAGATAAGTTGCCGAAATGGAAGGATGGGCAGCTTGAAAAGTTTGAAAAGCTCACAAAGCTGGAGCTGGAGATGGCCTCTTTACCAGAAGATGTCATAAGGCTCGTTGACAAGCTTCCAGAACTACGTATTCTTCGTGTCAAGCTGCGTCAAGCCGGTGAGCTCAATTTCTGTGTCATGGTGAATGAATTCGAGGCCGACTCCTACAAAAAGATCAAGATTCTCGAGATTTCCTGCCCCGAAAGTTTGCCTGTGAGTGTGACTTTTGGATCATCAACAATGAAAAACCTTGAGCTGCTCAAGGTTGAGTGCTACGGTGGGTCACCGCGTTATGAGTTCAGTGGCCTGGGAGACCTAGAAGAACTCAAGGAAATCGTGCTTGTTAATGGCTCCAACGCCCAAGCACTGAAGCAACAACTCGATGACCAGCTTGCCAAGGAGCACCCGAAAGAAAAGAAGCCTGTCGTGAAGCTGCTCGTCCTGAAGGGTCATCAATCATAGCAGTTTGGTTTGTTCCAGTTTGTGTTTTTACCATACTGGCTCAATGTCCAGTACGCCTTGATTTGTTTGTGTAATATATTTCTCTCGTACAATTTACATTGGCATCATTGTGATGTGGAGGGGACTGTTTATTTCCCTTTTTCTTAATTTTTTAACTACCTGCCACTGTAATCTCTTCTTGCTGCTTCCATACTAGTGCAACACTCTACCAGCTAGTAGTATTTGTACATGTTTCTTCTCAATTGCCTTGATTATGATGTATGACTGTTACCCAGGTAGCATACTGATACTATCATAGAGAGATGGTTGGCGTTGTCCATCTTGCTTATCCATTCAAAAGGATGTCTATATTCAATTTGATGTATATATCGATCTTTGTGTACCTGTCTCCTTTGTAGTTACAAGTAGGGCCATTTTGCTCAGTTTTTGAAATGGCTCTGTATGCAGATGACATTTAACGTTGGTCGAGTTAATAGAGCTAACGACCACTAGCTAGCTGCAGATTCGTTTGGTTAGGTTAAAAATCAGTTGAGTTTCTTACTGATGACCTTGGTGGAACCCCCCAAGCTAGCCTCGGCATACTTATCTAGGTCTCGCGATTCTCAATCGATCTTAATTAGCAGGACTTCGATCGACCCCTCAAGTCTTCTCAGTAATCTGGCTGACTCCAGTTAACAATGTCTGTCAGAACATTAGAAAAAACAGTGCCAATCAGATCTGGCTTTACAAACTGACGCGTCATCATTATATTACGAAGATCGAGATTGGCAGTTTGGCGTTGACGATGCCGATACACTCGTTCAAGGCATATTAATTACCTAGCTGTTGTGCAGCTAACTTAAATTTTCATGGTGGAGTCGATCGAGAACATGGCCGGCTAGCTAGCTAAACCCAAGGATGGATCTCAAGCTCTAACTAAGCAACATGCATGCATGTGAGGGCTGTCGACCAAGCTAACCAATTGAATTACCATGCATCTAGCGAACTACTAAACCTTAAGTTATGCATGATTTGTTTGTCTATGGAGCAGTCAGAGCGATCCAGCTATCTTTGCGTGCAGATCGAGTCGTTGACACAAAGATTAAAGAGGCTAATCATGCCAGTGCCCACCAGCCCATGTTCATCGACTGCAGTGGCGGAGCAGGATATTATTTATCAACTGTTTGCAGTTTCCAGTCAAAAACTACAGTAGAAATTTTTATGTATGTGTATTTTATATTGTTTTTTCTATAGATGAGATTTTCTTGTATGAAGTATTCTACTAGACTACTACACATCCTATATTTCTTATTTTTATTTATCTCTTTAGCTGTGTCTACGCACTTGAAACAATACGTTGATGTTATTTTTATGTATGTATATTTTTATTTTTATTTATCTCTTTAGCAGTTTCCAGTCAAAAGGTTGTGCGGCTCCAAACAGTTTACTTGAAGGAGAGAACAGCGACCTAGGCATGCACATGGCCGTGGAAGGATCTAAAATAAACTCTTTGTGGCTTGAACACTACCTAAAGTTACATGTAGATATGTACAAAGTTGAGCTATTGAAGGTATGTGTCAACTTCATGTGATGTCAGTATCATGGTAGGCAGTGCTGTTCGAAACCTTATATAGCATCATGTGTGTTTCATTGTACTGGTGGTTGTAAAATCGAAATATTTGCCATT